GAAAAGGGAGGGGAAGAAAAGTCACATTCTATTCCCAGACTAGAGACTGGAGAAGAGCAACTAGAGTAACTGTTGAAACACAGAGTATGGATAAGGGAAGAGAATATTCAACTAAAAAGAAGGTGGGGAATATAAATGGGGAGAGCTGAAGGCTAAACTAAGGAGTTCCAGCATTATTCCATGGCCACGCAGTAGCCTCTATTGAACAGATACCAAGATACACTGGAGGTAGTCAGATAAGTGGGCCACTCTGATAAGCAAAACAGCCTAATACAGAGTGGTAGCAACACATGAATTATAAGAAAATAGCTATAGTACATGACAAATTTCATCAAATGTAATAAATGTGTGTGTGTGTGTATTTAAACTTTTTTGATATTGAAATACATCTTACAAGTCATTTGCATGTCTTGTTTTTTGGGTGGGTAGGGGGTCCTGGGGATTGAAACCAGGGATGCTCTACTACTGAGCTACATCCCCAGCTTTTTTAAAATCTCTTAAATTTTGAGACAAGGTCTTGTTAAGTTCCTGAGGCTGGCCTAGAACTTACAACCTGCTTCAACCTCCCAAACTGCTGGGATTACAAGCATGTACCACTGTGCCCCATTGGTAGCATTTCTTAACAATACATAAAACAATGCCTCTTCTTAAAGTTGATGTTGTCTTAAAAATATAAATATAGATAGGAATAAGAAATAAAGAATTCAAAGGCAAAGTTTTAAATCTGGGTAATTAGAAGAACTCAAAGACAGATGCAGGAGTACACAACAGTAATCCCAGCTACTTGGAAGCTGAGGCAAGAGGATTGCAAGTTGGAGATCAGCCTGGGAAATTTAGTGAGACACTGTCTCAAAATTTAAAAAGCTCAGTGTTAAGAGTGCCATTGGATTTAATCCCCTACTGTAAGGGGCGGGGTGGGGGAACTCCATTATTCATAACAAAAAAGTGAGTGAGTTTCCTCAATTCCTTATACCAGAGTCAAACTAAATCTATTTGGACAATGGCCCATAGGTAATATTGCTGTTCATTATTATTACTTTCCTTATTTGCTAATAATAGGAGGAAGTACTTATTAATGACAACTTTAATTCGAACATGTGTGGGATTCTCAAGAAACCACAACTGAAGAGTAAGCTGAGAGTAAAAGGAGTACATGATGCTCAGGGATGAATGGAATTCTATTTCTGGCCCAGCTGATATTCAACCATATCAAAGCAGCAGTCATTTGAACAATCGGAACTTTTTCAAATACTGGTTCACTTCTTCTTTGGGGTATGGTCGGAGTGCAATGCAAGTGGCAATATTCTCTGGCTGCTCAAGCCACAGCATGTGGTCAATGTTCTTCTGTTGCAGGGTCTCAGCCAGCTCCTTTAGGGTGGTCTCATCTGGAGCCTACAAGGAATAGAACACATAGCACAGATTGAGCAGCTCATTTAGAAAATGTCAAAAGCCCACAAATACGAGGGTGTGTGTGTATTTCTCTTAACTAAAACTGGAGCAAGAGTTTCATTCTCTGGATTGCCATTCACTCTCTGCAGGACTTAGATAAGTGGCTGGGGAGGTGAGAGGCAGGGAGAAACCTAATAGTCCTATTAACAAAATGGAGATTTTTCTCTTTCCTCTTGAGATGTTTTAAGTATGCCCCATACATTTTCTAGCTCCCCTACAATTGGTATTCACAACAGCCATCCCTAATTCTTTGGCCAGCTAGGACTTTAAGAGCTAATTACTGGAAGGATTTCTAAAATTACATACACCTTCCTTCTCCAATCCCACCAGGCCCAAAGCCTAGAAATTTTCCTTCTGCTGGGACAGCTCCCACTTTTTTTTTTTTTTTTAATGAAAGGGAAAATAAACTATTCCCTAACACCTTTCTAAAATTATTTCTGGGTCATCCCTATCACCCACTTCAAAAATCCCATGCTGCATCCCATTGCAGGAAGTATTAAAACTATAACTCAGAAAATTAGTGTATAATTATGCATAAGACACATTTTTTGCCTATGAAGGCAGACGTCACTAAGATAACTGGAGGCTTCTTTTATCAAGTTAGTGAATGCTAGGATTGTCACTCATCTGGCTAAGGCCTTCAGGTAAAGCCATGCTAGAGGCACTAATGCCACCTCCCCCTCCCCACCTTGTGGCTCTGGGCAGCAGCATAGTATAATAGGTAAGTCTCTGGAATCAGACTGCTGGACTTCAAACTCTTGCTTTACCAACTATTGCTTGTGTGAACTTGAATAAGTTATGTGACTCAGCAGGGCCTCTGTTTCTCCTTTGTGAAAAAGAGATGATAATGCTTCCTAGCGATAATGAGAATTCAGTGAAATTAGGCTTAGACCTGTAACTGGCACATAATAAACACCAATAGATATACTAAATCTTGACAATGGCTTATATTTCATTGGTCCTTAAAGCGACTGGAGCACTACAATTTAATCAGAAATGACTCCTAAGTCCATTTCTTTATTCATGGCTAACAACTTTGGAATCATCAAATAGATGTCTATTAGTTTCCTTTGGGCTTCAGATGTCTTGTCTGAGGAATGGGAGTCTTGAACCAGATTTCTGGAAGCCGTTTTTGTATAAAAAAGAATCTAAACGAAAAGAATCTGTCTGCTTCTTTTCTGAGTACTCAGAGTTCCAAGACATTTTCGTAAAGACTACTGCTTGCTGCTTCACTACCTAACAGCCTATCTCTCTCTCTCTCTCTTTTTTTTCTTGAAAGATACTGTCTTTGTCAGCCATCCATGAAGGAAACTATCCCACCCCTCCACTCCAGGGTTCTGTTCTGTTCTTTTTTTTTTAAGCACTTTTTTTCTCATTACAAGATATTGATGTAGAAAATTTAAAAATATAGAGAAACATAAGGAAATAACCAAAATCCCACCATCTAGTGAATATTTAGATGTACTTCCTTTCAAAATTAAAATCATTCTGTGTATATAACTCAACTAGCTTCATATCAATTGCATTCATATGCCATTAAATACACTTCAAACATGATTTCAGCTGTTTATATAATAATACTTTATAAGGGCACAAATTAACCAAGTCTAGCACTAGAAATTTATTATTTCTACATTTTTCACCAGTACAAAGTGCTCCTTTGAAAATCTCTGCTCAAAGCTATAAGAATATCTAGGGGAATAACATTCTGGACCAAGAGAAGAACAAATACAAAAGCCACAAAGCTGAAATATGCCACGTTGAAAATTATGTATAAAGAGACACAAATGAAGTTAAAAGGGCCAGAAAGGAGACTGCATTGATAGCAAAGGGAGAAAATGAAGGAATTGTGGACTAGAGTGTTAGAGAAGATTATACTGTCACAAAATATCTGAGATAATCACCTTAAAAAGAGGAAAGATTAACTTTGGCTTATAGTTTTGGAAGTTTCAGTCTATGGCCAATTTACCCTATTGCTTTTGGGCTTATGGTGAGGAGAATGTAGCAGGGAAAGCTGCTCACCTCATGAAGTAAAAATTAGGAAGAGGAGGTGTCCGGGTCTCAGTATCCCCTTTAAGGACACATCCCCATGACCTAAAGGCTCCCATGAGGTCCTATCCCTTAAAGTTTCTACTACCTCCCAGTACACAAAACAGGACCAAACCTTCAATTCAGAGGCCGTTAGGGGACATTTAAGGAAGCTCAAACTATAGCAGAGATTTTAAGAAATTGTCAGATTCTATTATAATCTGAAATTAGAAGCAACATGATTTCTGAGTAGTTGGAAATGAGGTATGGGAGAAAAATGTGTCAACATTGATAATTTCAAGGTTTTGAACCTGAATACTTGAAAGATAGATGAAGTGGTCATTAACTGAGAGTGAAAATTCTGGGTAACACTGGTTTGGGGGAAGAGAAAGTGACTTGAAGATCACAGAATGACTTCTAGAAGACAAGGAAAACGCTTCATGTATTCCTGTTTACATCTCTGTCAGCATCTTAATTAGCCTACAATAAGGTACTAAAAACTATTGAATAAATCAGGGAATGTATAATCCTAAAAAAAAAAAAAAAAATTCTGCTCAAAGCTATTTGGTTGCACCTGTTTTTTTGTTTTGTTTTTAAGAGATACAGGGCTTCCAGCAGAACTGCGAGTCAAAGGGTAAGTAAGATCTGTTTGGCTATCTAGACCTTACCGCTGTTTTTCAAGGTGTGCGGATTTACACCCTCGGTGTATTTCCGATGCTAGGTTCAACTGATGCTATTCAAACATCTATTTACAAATAGTGTGGTGTCACACCTAGGTAAATGCATACTTCACTTTACTTCTGTATCCAAAGCGAAAAGGAAATTTTGTGTCCACATCCCTTCTGAGTTGGTTACCTAGGCGGCATTACATCTGAGGACAGCTATACAAGGCTGGCCAGTGCGGACGCAGAAAGGCGAATGCACAAGTAGGCAGGAAAGGACTCGCTCCGCCATTCTCCCTTGGAGGCGTTTCCGCAGGCCCCACCAGTTTCCGGTGAGACCAGAAGGGTGCGGAGCCGTTCTTACTAACGAGCGAGATGTCCACTCTTCACAAACCAGAGGATGTGAAGGTGCAAGGGAGAGCTCCTCGTGTAACAACCCAAGTCCCAAAACCTTTTCCAAAATCTAAAAGTTAGAAATTCCTCCGCACTCAGACCACACCGACCCCACAGAGTTAGGCCTCAAGACCACACCCACTTCCGGTCTCGGCGTCCTCAAAGTCCCTCCCTTGGCCTGGGTGCCTCACCTCGAGAACCACTTTACGCATGCGCCCCAGCTCGCGAAGGTAAGCCGTGGTGTGCGGGTGGTCGCGGTGAAGGTGTAATGCTGCGGTAGCTGCATGACAAGCCTGCGCTACCAGTGCGCCCGCTGGCCAGGAGAACGGAGCCTGCGATAGATCTTTTCGAAGCACCAAGTATTGTACCAGGATCTGCGGCTCCGCCCCAGAGGACGCCATCTTCCTAACAACCTGAGCGGCCAGGCCTGTTCCCCGGTGCATCCTGGGATCCGGGAGGGGCCCTGAGCGCTGCCATGTTTTTGTACGGAAGGAGCGCAAAGCACGCTGGGACTGACGCTGGTGTTTGAAGGCGGGACGGCGGGAATTCTCTTCCCAGACTTTGGTGAGGAAGAGAGGAAGGTGAATGGAAGGCCTGTGGACCCCCTGGCAGGTAACTAGGGTGTGGACTTTAAAAAGCTCCCGGGCTGGGCCTGAGGGGCCGCGCCCTGGGGGCGGGGAGGTGAGTCCCTCGGGGACTAGTGGGTTTTTTCGGAGCCCAGAGGGCGAGTCCAAACGGGCATGGGTCTGACTTGTTGCTGTTTTTCTTCTATCATTAAGGACTTCATTAGACTTCACTGGAAAACTTCATAGGAAAACAGGAATTTGAGGAGGAGATGGAGCGCGCACACACTTTATGTCAAGACGGTGTGTCCACAGGAGGTATTTAAAATTCGCTTTTGTCCCCTTAGTGCTGCTGCCTCAGGTAACCCACACGCTGAAAGCCTTTTCCTTCCTATAACTGGTGTGTGCAGTCCTGCTTAGGGTTAGAATGGTGAAAGCAGCTAATGTCGAAGATTCCAAAGAACAGCAGCCAAGAACAGGAAAAAGAATTACTTGGTGTTTCTAGGCGCCTCCTTCTGAAACTGATAGGTTGCGTTGATGATATACCAGTGTTTACATACAGAGTCGCAGCTGTAGCCAGTGAGATCTCTTTCCAGATTGGTTTTGTTTTGTTTTTAATGCATTACTTCTGAGGGGAAATCAGTGTGGTGCTGTGAATGGATGTTGCTTAGACCTGTATTTTATGTCTGGTTCTGCTTTTATAGAGTTTGCGGCCTCGAGTGAGTTACTGTATAGTTTTCTTCCTCAATTTCTTAATCTGGAACATGGAGATGAATAGTAGCATTGTTGTGTTGGTTGTGGATGTTATATACATACTTTTTTACATGCTGTATAAGTAAAGCATCTAGCACAAATGTCTTAATATGTAAGCAATGTTCAACAAATACTTTATTTTGGAGTTGATTGCCATTATGAAACAATGAACTTTAATACATGAGTGCTTAGTCTTTTGGATACTGAAATTTGCCTCTCTGTTTCTGTCCAGAAGTGAGGTTGCTTTAACTGTCCTCTTTAATACCCAGTAGTATTTGTGAGCAATTCTTGTTATTGTGCTTTTCTAGTTCTGTGCTATTTTTTAGAGCTTCAAGTGTGTCTTGACTCTTAAGGAGTATGCAGTTTTTGAGAAAGTCAGGTGATTTTAGTATCCTTGTTTTCCTCTGAGTCCTTACTATCATAGATGACTGAAAGCCATACTCAGAAAGCTTATGCTGAGACTTTAGATAATAAACAGTCTTTGGGTTAAGATTAATTGTTACTTCAAAACTAAAAATAAGTTTGGTGACACATGCTACAATTAGAAGTCTCTAGTCTAGGCCTAATTTTGTTTCTTTCAAAATAAGTGTTGATAGGGGCTGGGGATGTGGCTCAAGCGGTAGCGTGCTTGCCTGGCATGCGTGCGGCCCGTGTTCGATCCTCAGCACCACATACAAACAAAGATGTTGTGTTCGCCGAAAACTAAAAAATAAATATTAAAAATTCTCTCTCTCTCTCTCTCTTTAAAAAACAAAACAAAACAAAATAAGTGTTGATAAACTGGCATGTATACACAATGGAATATTACTCAGCAATAAAAGAGAATAAAACCATGCCATGTGCAGGTAAATGGATGGAGTTAGAGAAGATAATGCTAAGTGAAGTTAGCCAATCCCAAATAACCAAATGCCAAATGTTTTCTTTGATATAAGGAGGCTGAATCATAGTGATTTAGGGAGAGGGATTATGGGAGGAATAGAGGAACTCTAGATAGGGCAGAGGGGTTGGAGGGGAAGGGAGGGGGTATGGAGTTAGAATGTGATGATCATTATTATCCAAAGTACATGTATGAAGACATGAATTGGTGTGAATATACTTTGTATACAACCAGAGATATGAAAAATTGTGCTCCATATGTGTAATAAGAATTGTAATGCATTCCGCCATAATATATAAATAAAAAATAATAATAAGTGATGATATGGAAGTTTTGGATCATCACCTAGACCAGTCAAAGGGTAATTCTATAATTTTTTTATTGTCTTTCCCAAATAATATTTAAACATTTAGCTGTTACCCATACTGGTTTGGGCCCTCTGCTTGGTAATTTTACCACCTTTTTGCTAATGGAATGAGATCTGTGGAAGGAGTCAATTGAGAGGAAATAGATACAGCAGAGAAAAGGGATAATATAATTTGAGGCTCCTGAGAAAACAAGAGGAGATAGGAGTCAATAAGTAATGGTAAGAAATACAAATGAAATATGGCTATTCTGTGTATTGTATTTTTATTTGTGTATCATGCTAGTTTTTCTTTTCAGTGGGATATATACCAACCATAAGGGAATCAGGAAGTCTATATGTCTAGTTGTTTTTTTTGTTTTTTTGGTTTTGGGGACCAAATTCAGGTCCTTGAGATGCCAGGCAAGTGCTCTACCATTGAGCTACATCCCCACACCTTTTTATTTTGAGACCGAGTCTTGATAAATTGCTGAGGTTAGCCTTGAACTTGCAATCCTCCTACCTCACCCTTCCAAGTAGTGGAATTATAGGCATGTACCATGAAGCCTAGGAAGATGTCTAGTCTTTATTGGATAGATGAATGAGATAAGTTTTTGGACTTTCTCCCTCAACGATTCTCATGTGTTTATATGCTTATGAACCCTACAACACAGATGTTGGATCTACTTCAGAAACCTAATTAAAATGAAGTATGGTAGTTAAAAAGTATAGACTTTGTGTAAGGGAGATTTCATCTAGACTGGTAAAACTGTTGAAGCATCCTTTTCCACAAAGAGATGTGCTTTTGTGATATTATGTAGGCCTAGATAACATACTGCTGGCTAGAAAACATGAAATAGATAAATCAGATTCTCTCTCTTGTTCTCTTTGAATAGTGACCTGGTAAGGAACTATTTTTATATCAGTGTCTAACCCAAAAGGTTGATCTTTGATTTTAGTTGTTAGATCCTCTAACAATTCAGCTGGCCACAAAGTTCTGGAAAAAAGAGACACCCTCTGTTCCTTCTTGAAGTGCTTGCTGTTGGTGGAAATAGAAAACCTTGTCTTCTTGTGAAATTCCCTTTTTACTTTCCTTAGGTGTTTTAGCCCACTTGGAAAGATTAGAGGCTCAGGCGAACAAATCCCGTAAAGAATCTGAAGAACTGCAGAGAGCTCAACCAGAGGAAAGTGCTCTTGAAACCAAGATTCACCAACTGAGGCACATTCGAGATAAACTAAGGGCTGAAGTGAAGCAACGACAAGCCAGAGTGAGTCGAAGGGTAATGTTGGCAGACTTTTTAGGGTATAAAGAATAGTAGTAATCCAAGTATTGACAAATTTGTATAATATGTTTTATTGTGATCTTACCATATTGTTTTCAGTCTTTAATGCTTCAAATGGTCAGATCTTTAGTTACAGCTGATTATCAACTACAGTTGTCAGGTAATTATGATGGGCCCAGCACATTCTTTATAACATTCCCCCATCCTTACAGACATCTAAGCCTCTTACCCCAATCTCAGCAGACTTGAGTCATTTGTATTTCTGACAGTAGTGCCATCTTTCTGTCACTCACACTCAAAATCTCACAGGAAACATCAACTCTTCCTTCTTGTCAATTTATTCTGTAGCCAAGGTCCAGTCGGCAAGACCTGTCAATTTTTCCTTTATGTGTCTTTATATTTACTCCCTTCATTGCCATAGCTCAAGTATTTTCCATATATGTAGTAGAATTTTATCTAGAATTGGACACTAGGATTACTGTAGTATGTGCTAGCTGGGGTCTCTTCTAGGACTTCTACTTTTCTAATCCTGTATATGTCACAAAACACCAAACTGTTCCTTGCCCAGGTACCATCAGTATGCCTCTGGGATGACATGGCTTTCATCTTTTTCTTGCCATTTCTCTTTCCCTCTCTCCCCTCCCCTTTCCTTAACTCCCTTTGCATTTTTCTTCTTAACTCCCTTCTCTCCTTTGTTTTTTTATTAAAATAAACTATACAAAGTGCACAAATAGGATGAATATTTTACAGAGTGAACACAACCAGTTATCTACCACACAGCTCAAAAGTGTAGAATTTTGTCAATACCCCAGAATTCTCCCTTTTGCCTCTTCCTAATCATTTCTTTGAAGTAACCACTATTCTGATTCCTGTCACCGATATCCGGTTTTACCTGTTTTTGAACTCTATAAAAAGTATCAACTCTTTTGTGTCTGACTTCTTTTACTAAATGTTGTGTCTGTGAGATTCATCTATTTGCATGAGTGGTAATTCTTTTTATTGCCATATAATAATCCTGTTTTATGAATATAGGACAGTTCACCTATTCTGTTGATACCGAATGGGTCATTTGGGTTGCTTCATTTTGGGATGATAATGAATATTGTTGCCATGAACATTCTTACTCCTTTCCTTTAGTATAAAAATACACACTTTTCTGTTAGGTGACACCTCGTAGAATTGCTGAGACATAGGGCATGTATTCTGCCAGTATTTGAAAACGCTGTGCCAGTTTCACATTTCCGAGTATAAGATTTCTGTTGCTTTGTATCTTTACCATAGGTTTTATCAGTTTTAAAATCTGTCATTCTGGTGGGAGTATCTCATTGTGGATTTAATTTGTATTTGCCTGATCACTTATGATTTTATATATAGAGAGTCCTCTGTATCCATGTGTTCCACATTTGTGGATTCACCCAGCCATGGTGGATCAGAAATGTTCAAGAAAAAAAATTGCATCCGTACTGAACATGTCCACACATTTTTTTTTTTTTTTTGGTGGAGGGTGGTAGGGATTGAACCCAGGGGTATTTTACCACTGAGCTATGTTCCCAGCCATTTTTATTTTTTATTTTGTGACAGGATCTCTCTAAGTTACTGAGTTGTTGAGGGTGGCCTCAAACTGTGAACTGCCTGCTTCAGCCTTCCAAGTCACTGGGATTACAGCATATGCCACTGTGCCCAGTCAGACTTTTCTTGCCATTATGGTATTCTCTAAATGATACAGTATAATAACTGTTATATAATGTTGCATATTTGTCATATTAAGTATTATAAGTAATCTAGAGGTGATTTAAAGCATGGCAGGAAGTTTGTACATTATATGCATATACTATGACATTTTATGTAAGGGACTTAAGCATCCGTAGATTTGGGTATCCAAAGGGGGTCTTAGAACCAGTCCCCTTTGGATACTAAGGTACAATTAAACACTAAAAATCTTCCATTGTGAAGTGTGCTTTTTCAGGCTTAAGTACATTTTTATTTGTTGTTATTAAATATAGAAGTCTTTACATATTTTGGATATGAGTTCTTCTTTGAGTATATATGTTAGAATTTTCCCTTGCACTGTGGCTTGCCTTTTTACTCTGTCATGGTGTCTCGTGATGAAAATACATTCTCTGTTTAATGAAATTCAGTTCAGGAATTATGTTTTGTGCTCTTTGTGTACTGTTTAATTTTTTTCTAGCTTATGATCAAGATGATATTCTGTGTTATATTCTTTATTTACTTATTTTTAAGAGAGAGAGAGAGAGAGAATTTTTTTTAATATATTTATTTTTTAGTTTTCGGCGGACACAACATCTTTGTATGTGGTGCTGAGGATCGAACCCAGGCCGCACGCATGCCAGGCGAGCGCACTACTGCTTGAGCCACATCCCCAGCCCTATATTCTTTATTTTAAGCTTTATTGTATCCTCTTTTGCTTTAGAATTACAGTCTACTTAGAGTAAATTTCTGTGTGCATTGTGTGGTAGAAGTCCTGCTGCTTTTCTTGTCTCCCCCCCCCCCCGATATGGATATCCAGTTCATCCAACACTTCTTGAAAAAACTTCTCTTACAGTAGGGTAGGGAAGTTGGGGAGCATGAGAGGAATAGATGAACTCTAGATAGGGCAGAGGGGTGGGAGGAAAAGGGAGGAGATAGGGGATTAGCAAGGATGGTGGAATGTGATAGACATCATTATCCAATGTACATAAGATGAAGACACAAATTGGTGTCAATATACTTTATATACAACCAGAGATATGAAAAATTGTGCTGTATACATGTAATAAGAATTGTAATGTGTGGGAGACCAACCTTGCACGTGACTGGGTCACACTCCCCAGCTGGGTGCTGAGGCACTCAGTCACAGAAATGTGGCAGAGCTTTCCCCACCCTTCTTGGGTTCGAGAGTTGGTGTCTGTTGTGCATGGATGTGTCTTGCTACAGCCCATGGGTGAAGCTATTCTCACCTGTTCCTTTGTAATATAACCCCTGCCCTGTTTAGGATAGAATCTTCCATGGAAATGCCTTGTGTGTGTCCCCTTCTCTTACTGTGCCCTTGGGTATGGCCTACCCAGGTGTCAGTCAACTTACTGACAGTGGACATCATGAAGATAGATTCAGCCCCCTGAAACCTGACCCCTTGCCTCATTTGAATAGCTTCTCCTCAATAAAAAGGGTCAGCGCGTGCTCTCACTCTCTCTTCTTGCAGACCCTTAAGGTCAGAGGAGCCATCACAGCGACCCCAAAGAAAAAGGTATTTGTGTCTCTTGTGTGGTTATTTTGCACATCCCAATTAGCCCAATTTAACTGGAGCAACCCCTGAGCCTTTTAGTCTCGAACAGAAACCTGGCAGTAATGCAAAAAAAAAAAAAGAAAGAAAGAAAAGAAAAATAAAAAGACTTCTCATGGCCTGTTATATTCTATTTGTTCATCTTTGCCACAGCCAGAGGTTTATTTGCTATAAGTGTTGATACCCATAGTACATGTTCTCTTGAGAATTATCTTGTCTCTTCTTGACTCCTGGGATTCTCCATAAATTTGAGAATCGATTGTCACTTTCAAAAATGAACCTCTTCATTTTTATTGTAATGATACTAAATCTATAGATCAGTTTGGGGAGAACTTGCCTCTTTACAGTACTTCATCTTCCAGTCAGTGTACATGGTATATCTTTCCATTTAATTTTAGTTGACTTTTCTCACTAATGTATAGTTTTATGTGTAGAGGTTTTAAACCTTATGTATTTGCAGGGATCAGCAGAATTTTCCTGTGTAGGGCCAGGTATTTTAGGTTTTGTGAGCCATACGATCTCTATGGCAGTTGTTTAGCTCTGCTGTTGTAGCATGAAAGACAGTATGAAAAATGGGTGTGGTGTTAGCCAGTGAAACTTTATTTATAAATCAAGCATCTGGCTGGGTTTCACCCATAAAATACACTTTTGATGACCCTGATATGGTATTATCTTTTAGAAGTTTTATTCCTAGTTGTATTATATAGAAATACATCTGATCTTATATATGGCAACTTTGCTAAATCCACATATTCTAATAGTTTTTCTTTCTAGTTTGGAGAATTTCTACATTTGGAATTATGTCATATGCAAACACTTATTTTATTTTTTCCTTTCTAATCCTTGGAACTTTTGTTTTTCTTGCCTAATCCACTGGCTACAATCTCTGCTATGTTGAATAGAGTCATGGGGTCAGTCTTTTTGCTTTAAATCTGTACCTTTTATCAAATTAAAGAAATATTCTGTATTTCTAATTTGCTGTTTTAATCCCATGATCAAGTATTTAATTTCATGACTTTTTTCTACTGTATATATTAAGGTGGTCCTATGACTTTGTCCTTTTTTAAAAAATACTTTTTGTTGTAGATGGACAGGATACTTCTGTTTATTTATTTATTTTTATGTGGTGCTGCTAAGGATTGAACCCAGTGCCTCACACATGCTCGGCAAGCACTCTGCCACTGAGCCACAACCCCAGCTTTGTCCTTTATTAATGTGTGAAATACACTAATTGATGTTTGAGAATCACCTGTACTTTCTTGGAATAAACCTAACTGGTTTGATGTATTATCATTTTTATATAATTCTAAGTTATATATTTTTAAAAAGTCCCATTTGCTAATAGGACTTTTACATCTAAATTCATGAGAGAGATTGCCCTTATTTTTTTCTGGGACTGGTGTCACAGAGAAGGTTGAGACATTTTTCTTCTTTTTCTATTCTCTGAAAGAGTTTATATAAAATTGGTGTTATTTTCCCTTAAAATTTTGTAAAAAATTCCCTGGTGGGCCTTTTCTGTGAGAAGCCTTTTAATTTCTTTGTCTTTTTTAATTGTAGTTGGACACAATTCCTTTATTTTATTTATTTATTTATTTTTATGTGGTGCTGAGGATCGAACCCAGGCCCTTGCACATGCTAGGCAGGCACACTACCACTGAGCCACAACCCCAGCCATAAGACTTTTAATTTCTGATTCAATTTAATTGATCAGTGTAAATCTATTAATTTATTTATAATTTATAATCTATTTCCTATTTCTTCTTAGGTCATTTTTGGTAAGTTGTGTTTTTCAAAGAATTTTTTCATTCATTTAAATTCTCATATGTGTGAAACTTTTTTAAATATTTTTTTTAGTTGTAAATGGATCTTTCATTTTATGTATGTATGTATGTATTTATATGCCATGCTGAGGATAGAACCCAGGGCCTCATACAATGCCAGGCAAGTGCACTACCACTGAGCCACAACTCCAGCCCCTGAAACTTTTTTTTTTTAACAAGTAAAACAATCTAATTTTTTGTTCTGACATTAGTAATTTGGGCTCATTTCACTCTCTTCCCCCTTAGCTTTGTTATGTTTAATCACTTTTGTACCTTTTCGGGAATCAGCTTTCTGCTTTGTCATCTTTCTCTCTTCTCTATTTTCGCTCTACTTGCTCTGGATTTAAGTTACTTTATTTTAGCTTCTTGGAAGCATACTTACTGTCTTCTTTCATAGTATTTAAGGTCATAAGTTTCCTGTTAAACACGGCCTTAACTCATCCCACAAGTTTTCTTATTTTCATTATCATTTCAACTTAAGACATTTAATTTTCCATTGTGATATCTTCTTTGGCCTGTGGGTTTTAGAAGTGTATTGCTTAATTTCCAGAACTTTGGGTATTTGTTAGTTATTTGTTTTAGTTCCAATTTACAGCTTAATTCTATTATGGTGAGAGAATATGACCCATCACATGATCAGTTTTGATAAATACTTCATGTATATTGAATATGGATTTTGCATTTGTTTTATACTATATTCTATATGTATCAAATGTGTTCATCATGTTTAAATTTGTTTTACTTTTTAAATTTATTTATTTATTTTTGGTTTTTTAGATATATATGATTGTAGAGTGCATATTGTACATGCATGGAGTATAATTTATTCTACTTAGGATTCCATTCTTATGGTTGTACATGATGTGGAGTTTCACTGTGGAATATTCATGTATGAACATAGGAAAGTTATGTCTGATTGATTCTACTGTCTTTCCTATTCTCATCCCCCCTCCAATGAACTTCTCTTGTTCCCTCTCCCCCTTATTGTGCCTAAGCATCCACATATCAGAGAAAATTTTTTGCCTTTGGTATTTTGGTATTGGCTTATTTCACTTAGCATGATAGTCTCCAGATCCATCCATTTACTAGCAAAAGTTATAAAGTCATTCTTTTTTTACAGCTGAGTAATATTCCATTGTGTATATATACCACATTTTCTTTACATCCATTCATTTGTTGAAAGGCACCTAGGTTGGTTCCATACCTTAACTATTGTGAATTGAGTTGCTATGGACACTGGTGTGGCTGTGTCACTGTACTATGCTAATTTTAAGTCCCTGATACATACTGAAGAAGGGGATAACTGGGTCAATGGTAGTTCCATTCCAAGTTTTCTGAGGAATCTCCATATTGCTTTCCAGAGTGGTTGGGCCAATTTGCAGTCCCGCCAACAATATGTGGGTGTGCCTTTTCCCCCATGTCCTCGCCAACTTTTATTGTTAACTTGTATTCTTTTTTAAAAAATATATTTATTTTTTAGTGGTAGTTGGACACATTGCCATTATTTATTTATTTTTATGTGGTGCTGAGGATCAAACCCAGGGCCTCATACGTGCTAGGCCAGCACTCTACTGCTGAACCACAGTCCCAGCCCAGTTAACTTGTATTCTTGATAATTGTCATTCTGACTGGAGTGAGATGAAATCTCAGTGTAGTTTTAATTGCATTTCTCTAGTTGCTAGAGAAGTTGAACATTAAATGTCTTATATCCTTACTGATTTACTTATTTTATCAGTTACTGAGATTAGATTTGTTAAAATCTTCCCCTGTTATTATGGATCTTCTTTATCTTTTTCTTTCTTTTTCTGTATTAGGTACAAATTTAGGATTATTATATCTTCTTGGTTGAGTTAACCTTTTATTATGAAATGTTGCTTATCATTTTTTTTTTGTGAAATATCTTGTCTTTAGATCTTTGTAAAATGTTAGTAAAACTTTTTTCTTTTTTTCCAGGGCTGAGGATAGAACTCAGGGCCTTATGCTAGGCAAGCCCTTTACCACTGAACCACACCCACAGACTAACAACTTTTTGGTTAGGGTTTGCATCTTAAACATTTCTTCCTGCTCAGTCTTTCAATACCCTTATATTTAAAGTATTCCTCTTATAAGTAGCATATAGTTAAGTGTTTTTAATTTAGCCTGTCTTGGTCCTTTTTTTTCTTCAGTATTGGGGATTGAATCCTAATGTACTCTACCTCTGAGCTACACCCTCAGTTCTTTTATTTATTTTATGACAGGATTTCACTGAATTGCCCAGGTCAATCTCCTAAGTAGTTGGGATTATAGGCATGTACTACCACACCTGGCTCAGTCTTGTGGAGTATTTAGTCTACGAACTTTTAATGTAATCACCCACATCTCAGTGTATCATGTTATTATGATTTCATTGTGCAATTTGTTTTCTATAGACCATATCCCTTTGGAGTCATACACATAGCTAACCCTTCCAGTACTCTGTTACTTCTTGCATTTTCATAGTTCCATGTGGGATTATTTTCTTTCATGCAAGTAGCTCCTTTTGGTGTTTTTAGTATAAATCTGCTGGCAGTACATTTTCTATTTTTGTCTGAAAACATCTTTATTTCATTGCATTTTAAAATTTTAAGCATTTTTTTTTTGCAGAGTATAGAGTTATAGATTGGAAGTTATTTTTATTCATAATTCAAATATATCATTGTTTATAGGTCCAATTAGTCTTATTTTTTAATGTGTCTTTCCCCCCCCCTCAGACTTTATGATTTTATTTGATTTTCAGCAGTTTTATATCATGTTAGACATTGTTTTCTTTATTCTGCTTAATGTTTGTAGAATTTAAATCATTAGTTGACATTTTTTATCCATTTTGGAAAATTTGGCTACTATCTCTTCAAATAATGTGTTTATCTCATTCTTTCTTCTGTTTCTTTTTGGACTCCCATGGTATGGTTGGTTGGTTGGTTTTGTTGTTTCTGTGACCTATATCTTTACTGATTTTTCTAATCCATTTTTTTTCATATTTGTTTTAATCAGGTTATAAACTTTTATCTGTTTCGTTTCCTTTATCACTTTTTCTTACTATTTAGTTGGCTTTTACCTCTATTAAATTCCTTATTTCTGTTACTGTATTTTTTTGTTCTAAGATTACCATCTGATTTATATGTAAGATTTTTAAAATTTTATACACACACACATGGTTAGAGATTCCAGCTCTTTGATATGTGTTCTCCATCTTTTAACATGTTTTATTGGCTGTACCTGGTAACTCAGATAGCAGCATCCCTTAAATCTGTTTCTGTTATCTTCTTTTTCCTCATGATTTTCAGTCATCTGTTTCTCTTTTTCCAGTATCCCTGGCAATATTTTGATTGAGTTTTTTTCTGGCAGGCAGATAGCCTATGGATAGATCACCTTGATCTAGTTGAGGTCTAGTTTCCGTTTGCCCTTCCTCTTAGGATGTAGCCCTTTTCTAGGGCCCTCGATTGAAAGTTTGAGAGTGTTTTGGGGACACGTCTACCAAAGCCCCTTTTCCTTGGCAGGCCTTAAACTCCAACCTCTGTTCTGTCAAAAATCTCTGCTTAGCAACTTCTTTTCATGTAGTCTCTTAGTTCCAAGTCACATGTGCACTGTTCAGGAATTAGCAAGTGCCAAGAGGGCAAATTGCATGCAGAATGTAGGACTCCTTCTCTGTGGACTCTTGGCCCATAGAAAGGCTGCTTTGGTGACACTGGTTTCCAGTCTTTGTTCTCCCTATACTGAAACTGCCATGAAATGTAAAATGTAGCCTATAGCTTCCTGTCCAGGCCTTGTACCTTGAGATACAAATAAGCAAATTGTCTGAAAGGAAACGCTGCAGAGAGAGCCGGATAACTTCATAGCATTTATCTTTACTCCTCAATCCTGGCTGTTTGGATTGTACCCTAATGCCTTCAGACTATCTTTCAGTTTCCTTGCTTGCTTATTTATATTTGCTATTTTATTCAGCTTGCATAGTTCTCAGAGGGAATTTCAGCCTTATACCTTCTGCTGGGCTGTGCCTAGAAGTGCAAGTCTTGAAATCCTGCATTTGAAATCTTGCAGCCTCAGAACAGCTTTCCTGGCTTAGCCTCTTCACAGCCATCTGTTTTGCCCACCCAGTTCTCATCCTAGATGTTCCTCACACCCTTCCTGCTGCCCCCCCCCCCCCCCCCGCCCAGTCTTCTTCATTTCCACCCAAACTCTAACTATTCTTTAGCTAGTAGTTTCTACTCTTCTAGGACACCATGACCCACAGATTCTACTTCTGTGAATTCACAGCACCAATTGAGTGGCCACAGTCTTGATGCTTTACATAATAGGAAATACTCTGCATTTTGCTTTTATCCAGTTAGGTGAGGGCAGGGACCTTGTGGTAATACCCTTCACTATCCAATTTGATTTGCTGCATATCTTGCAGGATAAAGCATCTTTTGCCAACATAGAACCTGACCAAACAGCAGAGATCAGTGAGCAAGATGTTTTGGAAAGAAACCAGGAAACCATGAAAGCCATTCTGCAAGCATATCATTTTACAGGTATAATATTTCCTGGGCTGAACTCATCCTGGGTCCCTGTCTCTAGTGAATTAGGGTGCTACATGTGTTTTAATCCTGGACTAGTTCCTGAGAATTTGTTTTGTAGTCCCTTCTTGCATCATACACACACATAGAAAGCTGGCGTGTTGTTTAACACGCATGTTTACCTGTAAGATTGGTTTCTTTGTACAGATTGAGACCATTCATTTTAGCAAGTCATCATGTGCCAGACCCTATACTTGAATTTTCTTTACTGTTGGCCTGTTTTGTGCTGTTGGTCGTGATAATTTGAATTCCTTATATCTCTGTTTCAGCATAGATGGGGATTTATTCTCCCATTTATGATACAAGAGGATTGTGGGAAGAATGGGGTTATCACAAATTATTTGACACTCATGAAAAAAAGAAAAGGTAACGTGGGTATATAGCTCAGTGAGACAGCTCTTGCCTAGCATGTTCAAGGTCCTGGGTTTTTTCCCTAGTATTATAAAAAAAAGAAAGAAAGAAAAAGAAAATTTCCAGAAATTTTCCTGAATAGTTTGATATTTAGTGTGTCTTTTTTCTTTTTCTTTTTTTTTTTTTTTTTTGTGGTAATGGAGATTGAACCTGGGGCACTGAGTTGCCCAGGCTGGCTTTGAACATTCAGGATTCTCCTGCCTTAGTCTCCCCAGTTGCCGGAATTATAGGCATGCACCCTCACACCTGGCTAGGGTGTCTTTTCCTTCCCACTCTTCCATGATTTTTACAACTCAGTCTTAATATGAGCCAGAATCAAGGGGAGGAGCTGCTGATATTTATTCATTCAAGAAGCATTTGGGAACATATGCCAGGCTTATGCAAGCTACCAATATGCTCATATGAATAAGGTACTACCTTTGCCAGCATCTGTTGATTGGTATCGCTTTATGTTTGCTTCAGGGCTCAGTGGAAAAGTGACCAGCCGTGGAGCCTGTGTCTGTATCAGCACTGCTTTTGAGGGGAACCTACTAGATTCCTATTTTGTGGACCTTGTCATACAGAAGCCACTCCGAATCCATCATCATTCCATCCCAGTATTCATTCCTTTAGAGAAAATTGCTGCAAAATACTTACAGACTGATATTCAGCAGTTCCTGTTCAGTCTGTGTGAATACCTAAACGCTTATTCTGGGAGGAAGTACCAGGCAGATCAACTTCAGGTATTTGTCTAGGATCCTATATACTTCATTTTATGGACTGAGATAAATTGAAAAGGAAAACAAAAGGACAAGTTCTCTTTTGTATTTTAAATATTTCTTAACTCCGAGCCAGAAGTTTGTTCATTACCTTTCTGATACTTAAAAATATACAAGCTAGGGCTGGGGCTGTAGCTCAGTGGCAGAGTGCTTGCCTAGCATACGTGAGGCACTGGATTCGATTCTCAGCACTGCATATAAATAAATGAATAAAATAAAGTTCCATCAACAACTAAAAAATTTTAAGAAAAAAAATGTACAAGCTATTTTTCACCCCTTTTTTCTTACTCTCTTAAAACTTGGTTGATGATGCACTCTGGTGGTGGTTCTCAAACTTTTTAACACAAGATAGTGGAAATGATTGCTGTACTTTTAATTCAGCCAGAATTTGCAGAGTACCTGACTGAGCCTTGAATATAGATGCATAATACCATAGAGGAATGCGATCCATCTTCCCCTGAGTTCTGGCCTATCTTCTAAGAATGGCAGTTGAGCTAAGTTTGAGGTGAAAAACAGATGGGAAATGGATGCAAATAGGGAATAGGTGACTCTTTTAAACTTTGCATTTCCCCCACCTATGCATTTGGAATGAGTCTGAAACTCTCACTTGTCAGTTAAACTTAACTTGATATGTGAATGTAGACATGAAATGTCTTAACCAAATACAGTAATGTCAGTGAAATTCTTGGCAGAAATGGTATCTCCTCTTCACTCACAGCCATAGTCATTTACTTAGAAAGTGCTTCCTGTGGGCCTTGCACACTTGCAAGGCTGCCACAGTCTCTCAGTGATTTTTTTTTTTTTTTTTTTTTTTAATGACAGGCATCCTAGGCTGGTCTCAAACTTGTGTCGGTCTTAAGTGATATTTCTGCCTCAGCCTCCTGAGTAGCTGAGTAGCTGGGAGTAACTGTACTTGGCTTATTTATCTTATGTATGTCTTTCATTAGTCTTTTTTTTTTTTAAGCATTTTTCTGTTCATTTATTTTTCTGAAATTTAATGAATGGGCCCTCTTTTGGTAGATACCTTTGAGGCATCACAACTGCCTGTGGAGCAGCAATCCTCATACACTTGCTTTGTTCCTCGCCTTACTAGAGTGACTTCGCAGCCCTTCTGACTGGGCCCTTGCAGAGAAACTCCCTGTGCAACTTGCTGTCATTTACTTATAAAGTGGATCTGGGGGATCAGTCCTTCCCATTTTGTGCCAGATTGCTATATAAGGACCTCACGAGAACACTTCCAACTGATGTCACCGTTACATATCAAGGTATGAGGAAAGATGTCTCACTGAAGAAATATAATATGCTGAGGTTTATTCAAGTTGATACAGGTAGAATACATTAAGTGGACCCCTTGAGACATTTTCTTCTGTTTGCATACTATAAATTTACTCAGTAAGATACAAAGAATGTTTTGTTTTTATCATTTTTTTCCTTTCTGCTTTGAAAATGGCATATATAATTATACTAGTTTTCCTCCTCCTTGCCACACCGAACGCAGCCCATGTTCTTATTTTCATGGGAGACCCCCTTGAAGAAAGACTGAATCATAGGGTCATCTATGGTGAATGGAGCCAAAAGACTCATTTTACTGTGAAGCCAATTAGGTGTGACAAGTCAGTATACACTTGACTCTCTAGAGTATTCTTTAAATCAGAATTTTTTTAGCGCTGGCCATAAGAAACTGTGTGTGTGTGTGTGTGTGTGTGAGCTTATACCAGTTGAATGTACCATAACAATGTGACATAGGCAATAATGAAAAATTGTGTAAAATGTATTTAGGAAGCAGAGAGTTTGAAAGTGCCATGAGTTTCACACCATAGGTTTTATTTCTGTGGGCAGAGTCTGTTTTAAATCTCTGGTCTCAAAATTACATTGGCTCAATAGGAGGCAGACTCTCTCAGCTCCCAACCCAAAAAAGGTACATAGGTTCAGAGTAGTAGTAATCCAGGTTGTGATCTAGTTGCAACTAGATGAGATTGATATAATCTCTTTTCTTAGGAGTGGAAGCATTGTCCACTTCATGGGAAGAGCAGAGAGCATCTCATGAAACTCTATTCTGTACGAAGCCCCTGCATCAAGTGTTTGCTTCATTTTCAAGAGGAGGAGAAAAGCTGGATTTGAGTCTGACCTAAAATATTGTTTCCAATGGGAACACATTTGATGTGTAGTCCTAGAACTGAAAATTGAAAGGCTCTCACACTTTGCTGGGGGACCATCCTAACTCTAAGAATAGGCACCTGCTTCTTCATCAGAATGACAAGGAACAAGTTTGAGTCCCGTAGGCACTGGAATTCTTGGACAATTCTCCATGATTAATCACCCATTATGCTCAGGATCATCTCTTCTTCTGAGGTATTAATTGATTTAATCATATATTTTAGCCTCAAGACCTTTTTGTGGGGTAATAGGACATATTTTGTGAAAGATTAGGGAACATTTCGATCTTTTGTGGGAGCTTCAAGTAATTTTTGCCCTCATTTTCCTAAGACTTTGAAAAGAAAGTTCTTAGGACACTCTAGATATGGAATACATCATATAGTTAAGAAGGGAAGTGTGTTCAATCTTTGATTTGGAACAGTGGTCACAGTTTTATAAGGAATATGATGTGCCAGAGTACTATAGATAAAATAATTGGGGTTTCGTGTCTAATATTTTGTTTCTTAAAGCATTTTAGTAGAGAGCTGAATGCATAATCACTGTGGGGGGAAAAAAAAAACTGTTGGAAATCTTGTAAATGGAAATGGACCCTCCTTTTTCATGTCTTCCTTCTCCTCCTAGAAACTCCAGGCCCCAGCTGCGCAGTCTCACTCTCCATCTTCAGGGCCTTTCAGTGTGTTGTTTCTCTCTGTAACCGTGGGCCTCTGATGTGCTGGTACTTAACTTTTTCCTGGCTTAGGGCCAGTCGATAGCTGTGGAAACCTGAGTCTGGCTGATCAGGGTCTCCCATCTCAGTTCTTATCCCTCCTTTGCCCAGTTACAGATAGTAGGCGTTACTTCCTGAGGCCCAGAGCTATAGTCAGGCTTCACTCTGAAATGGCCGCTTCTTAGAACCTCATGAACGTGAGACACCTCTGTGTGTTTAAGAATAAAAGAGGGGCTCGGGTTGTGCCTCCACGGCAGAGCACTTGGCCTAGCCCATGTGAGGCACTGCGTTCAATCCTCAGCACCATATAAAAATAAATAAAGGTATTGTGTTCATCTACAACTAAAAATTTAAAAACAAAAAACCACAGAGATGTTTCTGTTCAAGCTCTTCTAAGCATTTGGTTGGGCTGGCAAAGCAAGCCACTTAGCAGGGTGCATTAACAGAATGTCCACAATGATTCCATTCAAGTTGAGTAAAGCTTTTAATAAAACAGTCTTGTTCTTTATCAATACCTGTAAATTCTCTTTTAAAGCAGTAGCAAAGGCGACTGTAGCAAGAGCTCAAAAGGCAAGGCAATATTGGAAAGTATTTTTTAACAGATTAAAAATATAAATGTAGAAGATCTGTTTATATATTTTTCTTTCAGAAATAACCCCCCTCCCCCCACCAGGTGAAAGGAAATATTGCACTTTCTGCTCTCATAACTAAGGTGATGGGGGTTCCAGAAGAACCTTTCAAGATTACCAGGAACATCAGGACAAGGGCCATTTAACCTAACTGGGACCATATGAAGAAAGTCAGGTCTCCGTGGGAGCTCTCTTCACAATGAAAGCACTGTTGTCAGGTTCCAGCAGAAGTGGAGCATTCTCCAGCAGTATTTAACTCTGCCAAGCCCTACTCTTTTTAGCAAAGCTCCTATACCTGTGCTCCCAGCCCAGTGGCAAAGGCAGCTTCGTTCCACCTCTGCTGAATTCTTACTCACAGTGGCCATGGCCTCTCTGGGGGAAGAAGGGCTGAGTTGGAACTAGGGCTCTGGAAGGACTCTCCGAGTATTACGCCTAAGACTCCTACTCTGGGGAAGCTACAGGCACACTGAAGAATAGTATGGCCACCCTCAGAGCTGACATATCCACAGACAAGTGAAGGCTTAACATTTTAAACTTAAAGTCTATGGGAGTGTGCACTTCAGTAATTCAGGAACATCAGGACGTGGTCATTGCCCTTTCCCAAGGCCTTTCTTCAATTCCAAAAGAAAGAAATTCTCCCTTTCCATGTGGGCTGTCATGGGAGCAGAGTCCATTCAGGAGTTGTCCACTACCTGGTGGGGCAGTGTAACAGAGGAGCCATTGGGGAAGGCAGCTGGCTTATCCTTCCCCTTCAAGAAAAAGGTCAGAAGCTCGCCCTTCCCTTTCACAAAGATGGGACCTCGTCTCACAAAGCGGAAGCCGTACTCTCGGAGGATGACCTGTGTTTCTTCTACTACCTGCACATGAAGGAGAAAGTAAGAGAGCTTGGGGTTAGAGAGGGAGCCTAGACTGTGCTGGGTTTAGAGTCTTGGGCTGAAAATGGATCCACACGTACTATCTATACTCATGTGACCATTAGGTCCCAGTCAGTGATCAATGTTTTACCCCAGAGAGCTCCAGGTGAGACCCGTGGAACTCGGGGCAACTGGTCCAAAGCCCTTCTCTCTAAGACAGCCGTAGTCCTCTCTTCCAGTAGGACAGCCACAGGTCACCCATGTAGCAGACTACAGTCTGGGAACTTGTAACTCCTACTCTGTTCTCTGGGCTCCCAGTTCATGGAGCTTTTCTTGCAGACCCAGGTGACAGACATCAGTATTGCCTCGGGGGAAGTTGCTATCAGCACCAAATATCAGTTCATACCAGAGCACAAGCTCTTCTCAACTCAAACAGACCTATTTGTTGCAAGTGGACTGAACCATTTTCTTCCTTCTCTTGAGGCTTTAAAGGCCTCTCTTCCCATGCATGACCTTCACCTCACAGCTTTGCCAGCTTAGCATTCTGGGCCAGCGACAGAAGGCAGTGGTGCAGAGCAGAGCATTCCCTGGCTGTTTTTCTCCTATTCCCTGCACCTGAGCATGCTGAACATACCTGAATGTTGCCCATGACCCCTGTGGACTCCATCCTGCTGGCCACATTGACTGTGTTGCCCCATATGTCATAGTGTGGTTTCCGGGCTCCAATGACCCCAGCCAGAACCCCTCCTTTGTTCATGCCTGGAGTAGGAGGCATAAAGTTCAGCACAGCCACATGCCAAGCTTGGCATTATCCTCCCTCAGAAGCCACCAGTTCCTGTTTTATAAAAATTTTTACCTGACTCCCACCACAAAAGCTCTTGAACGTGTAATACCTTGTATTGTTGAAGTCATCTTTAAGCTACTAGAAGACAGAACCATGTCTCCTATTTATCCTGTCCTCACCAAGTCCATGGCAAATGTTAACTATCCCCAATATGCCAAATGATCTAATCAGTGCAGTACTGGCCAGCTTCTAACATAGCTAGTACTTCAGGGCTCTGCCACTTCATCCAGGAGTGAGACCCTCTCAGTAGGGAATGGCATGTGACATTAACTCCTTTCAAAAGACAATCCACTCTGAGGAGGAGAGTCCTTAGCAGTCTCAGAAACACCCTAAAAGTTAAGACAACAGACCCACTTCCTGGGCATGTCAGAAGGAATGCTGGATTATGAGTATGTCATAAGGACAGGTCTAGCTCAACCATTTCATCGTTCAGGTTTTCTTTTTTTTTTTTAAATATTTATTTTTTAGTTGTAGTTGGACTCAATATCTTTATTTTTATGTGGTGCTAAGGATCAAACCCAGGGCCTCGCATGTGCTAGGCGAGCGCTCTACCGCTGAGCCACAACCTCAGCCCTCATTCAGGTTTTCAATTTGAAGAGACTGGGCTAAAGATCCTTCAAATCCTCTCTAGCTCTGTGAGTCTGTGACCTCCCCACCCTAACTGCTTTTGGTCTTCCTGAGCCTCTGGTATTTTTCTGCTGATATCCCCAGCACCAGACAGCCAGGGCAGGTGAGCTGGATCCCTTACCTATGCGCAGCATGAAGTTGTTGAAGGACTGATTATTGATGTTTGTAAGTGTATCCTTCATGGCTAGTGCAAAGTCGGCCAGGTCAGCCAGGTGCTGCCAGCGCTCCTTGTCTGACTTTTCCTCCTGTGACAAGCAGTGGTGAAAGCGTCAGGAGCCACCCAGGCTCTCACTGGAGCAGCCTGCTCTCCTGCTTCCTTCCTATAGCAGCATTTACAAGGGAAGAGGTCTCTACATCTACTTGTTGGTGGCCTTTCCTTCGTCCTGGAGTCTGCTGCAGCATACTGCTATGTCAAGAGTTCATACAGGTTCCTCTAGCATTATCCTCCCTCAGAAGCCACCAGTTCACTAGGACAAGACTGGCCATGGTGATGGGGGAGACAGACTCTACCCAACTCAGTTGCTTCCGTCATCTACCTGATCGTGACACAGATCTCCACCACCCTAAGCCTGGTCTTCAGGTTTTGGGTTTTTTTTTTTTTTTTTTGGGTACTGGGGATTGAACTCATGGGCACTCAACCACTGAGCCACATCCCCAGCCCTATTTTGTATTTCATTGAGAGACAGGGTCTCACTGAGTTGCTTAGCGCCTCACCATTGCTGAGGCTGCCTTTGAACTTGCAATTCTCCTGCCTCAGCCTCCAGGCTATTGGGATTATAGGCATGTGCCACCATGCCCAGCTTTTGTGTAGTGATTTTTGTCTGGATTCCTCAACTAGATTATAAATACTTTAGGATGATGACCTACCTTCCACCTGCTTTGTTAATCTCAACCAGAAAGTAGAGGTGGCAGTAGTACTGACACGGTTGTAAAGGTAGAACAGGGTGATGTTTTAAGGACAGTGCCTGACACAAGGGTTCTACAAGTCTGTATTAGCTTAGCAGAGAGCAGGCAGATAGCAGCCAGTGAGTTCCCAGATCTTCCTTTTAAAGTTTCCATTGTTACAGAATTGCACAGGTCGCTCCTGCTCCCCATTTATTATGAAAATATGTATCCTAAAGGGGGCATGGTCGCGATGTGCACAAACTGCCTTAGGCATACGCTGTAGAACTGTAATGGGGATTTGTGTGTGTTCTTTTTCTTGGCTTTCTCAGTAAACTCTCTTATATCTGCACTGCATGTGCAGTATGTGTCTGGGAACCCTTTGTACAACAGTACTCGGTAACTTTTTGTTATACTTCTCATTTCCTACATGCTGGGTCTCTTTTCCCCGGGTAGAAGCCTTGTCTCCTCTCTAGACAGTTACCTACCTAACAAGCTTATTTACCTTATTGGAGCTGGAAAAGCCATTAGTGTTGACATCTGGGGTGACTCCTGAAGCTGCCATATAGGTGCTGCCAATGGTTTTGATCTTGGTGATGACCCGGAATTTGGGATTGTCAAGGAGCTGTGGCCAGGTTTAAGGAAAAAGAATTGTCAGTAGAGTCAAGGGAGATGAATGAACCAACTAACAGGCTCCCATTTACAAGACCCACAAAGCATTCAGGAGATGCCAAAGTGCACACTTAGCAAACTACCTGACTTTCTGAGCCTCAGTTTCCACAATCCTAACGCTGAGATAAAATTACCAGTCTCCTAGGGTATTTGAGCATGTATATAAAAGGATTTTCCCTGGTGTACAAGTTACTCAATAAATGTTTACTGAATGTGAGTGTGAGGGAAGAATCAGGAGCCTCAGGATTGGCTAGTCCTTATTTCTCAGGCTCCCATCTAACCCCTGAGACCCAGCAGTTCCAAATAGTTGCAGAAGTCCTTGTGGGAAAGGGTTGGTCTGGGAAAATGTAGCCAGGCTAGGTTAATTCAGTTCTCTGTCCTGGGATGGGCTAGCTCTGACTGAAGTGGGCAGGAAGGCACTCACTGAATCGAAATCGGAGATGATCTCGTTGAGGAAGCGCAGACACTCGATACCACCATTATTGATGCTCTCTTCAGTATAGAAGTCAGCAAAGTTGGGCAGGGAGGCGAACATAACTCCAATCTCATCATAAGACTGGCTGTATAACTCCTAAAAGGAGACAGGGTCCAAGAGCTCAAAGGATGGCTGCCTAATGGGGTGATGTGCTAAGAAAACAAATCTGTCTTCTCCTACACACAGTGTACACTCAACTTTTTGAACTCAGACATCTCTCCAGTTATCCTAACTTGGTTGGAAAATAGCTCATCACAATTTTGAATAAATGAAAAATAGTTTTCCTGGCTCCTGTAACAGCCTAGCTGTGAGAAAGAGGGTTTTGTGGAAATGGGAACCACTCTGTTTTCATAAGATCACAACAACAGAAAGCAGGAGTCTGGCCAGGCCTTGTCTTCTGAAATGGGGCCTCAGAGATGTGACCTACATGCACAATTTCTACAATAGTGCCCTTTATAAGAGGCCTAGGAAACGCTTTTGTGTTGATATTGTTGCTGGTCAGGCTCAATTCCACCTGAGACCCAAACCACCATGAGAAGACCTGCGCCCAGAGGGCTCCCTGGAAGGAAGAGCACATGGCCTCCAGACCATGTTCTCACCTCATCTCTCTTCTTAGAACCCAGAAAATGGCGAGCGACATGCTCAGGCAACATGTTGGTGACCAAGGCCTCGTTCCAGCGTCGCATCTCGTAGACACGTTCCTTTTGGTCATGGACTTCAATCTTCCACAGGAACAGTGTCCGTGCCAGTTTTTCCACCTATAGAAACAGATAGGCAAGATATGTGCTCTAAAAGCTAGCTAGGTGATGGAAAGATAAAGAGTGGGGCCTCAATGGAGGGGTTCCCTTGGGAAAAATGAAGGAAGACGGCTAAGTGGTAAAGGACGTAGACCCTGAGAGGACTCACATAATCAAAAAGGCTGTCCCACAACTGAAGTATGGATCCTGGCCTCTTTGATTATAGCCGAGATCCAAGAGGCCTTTCCTATGTGTGGGGCCTCTTGAGACCTAATTTTAGCTGCAGGTTTGTCATAGGCAGGTGGAGGTGGGAGGGTTGGGGGAAATCTCCCAGCTCAGGGTGTAGTCCCCTTTTCCAGAAGCTCCACTTGGCTGAGAAGTGGCTTAGGAAAACTGTCCTTTCCTTGGCAAACCACTGGCGACACCTAAGCTAACATGGATTCCTTGTGTGGATATCTCCCTGCCCTGTCTTCCTTCCTTCCTTTTTATTTCATCCTTTTAACCCCAAACTTCATGAGATCCCTTTCCTTTCTCTTCTGGCTCTGTGATCAGTGCATTAGTGACCCCCTCCCCTTGCCACATGCCAGGGTGAATACAGAAACTGAGTCCCAGCCTAGGGACTGGACCTTATCCAGGCCTTTGTGTTAGCACGTCACCCTCCCCCAACCCCCATGCTCCTTTAACTTCTGGAGGAGGTCAGAAGAAGTAAAGAACTGTTCTCCTTGTATTGCTGAGGAAGAAACCAGAATAGGGAAAAGGCAGTGGCTTGCCAAGGGCCACAGGTAAGGCTGGGTCTAGGAAGGGTTCTAGGATCCTGGAACTGCCTTTTGGGAGGCTCTGATGGGTTTGGGCCAGTAGGACAGAGTGTGTAGGTACTCACGTGGCGGGAGAAGTAGTAAAAGCTCAACATCATGATGATGATCATCACTGTCATTGAGTACTTAGAAGGCACCAGCGGCAGCCTGCCAGGCATACAGAATACAACTGAAAGCACCCATGCTGCCTTCCTGTAAGGAATTTGCGTTCCCTCTACCTGGGTTTTATTGGTTCCTGTCATCCTGAGCCTTGGAAGTTACCCCCACCACTATACTCCTTTACATGAAGTCCTTACCTCCTGAGGCAGCAGAACTTCCCTAGGCCATTGGACTTAGTCAGCCAGGGCCTTGCTACACTGGGTGTTTACATCAGGGCTACTCCCCAGAGAGTACCTTATTGATCACAGAAGCTGTTAGAACCATGTAAGGAGTCTGGAGAAGGGAAGAGACTAATATCACAGCAGTGGGACCAGGGCCCAATCTTACCATGGCTTTTTCTAACTTTCATCCTTGTTTTTGTGTGGCACTATATTTAATTTCCATTATTGAACGGTATTCTACTGTATGAAGACACAATACAACTTATGTGCCTTTGAAAGGTTGAGATCCCAGGATACTGGCTTCTTATATTCCCTGTCTCTAGAAGAAGGACCACAGATGCAGAGACCAAGGAGGGGAACACAGTAGCACTTACCTGTCAGTGCCATTGAGCCCAGGGGTAGAAAATACCTGCATCTTCTCTAAGGCCACCAAAGGAAAGCTGTGAGGCAGATAAGAGCACATTCAGGCTGCATCTTTGAACAACAGGTTGATGCCCAGCCAAACACTGAGGTATCCCAGTCTTCAATCAAGATGGAGAGGACTTGTTCCCAGATCATAGCCAGCCAGTGACATGTCTGAGAAACCACAAACCCTGGTTCCCATATAAGCCTTTGATGGGCCCCAGAGGCAGAATGCCACCTCAGTGCAGGCCCATGACCTTGAAATGGAGACTTGGGGTAGAAGGAAGGAGACCATGCAGATACCCAATCAAGCTTCATCTTACTCATGTTCCTGAAAGCGTTTGTGGTCGTATTCATCAAAGATGGGGCACCAGGCATAGAGGTTGATGGCGGCCACTGCACCCGTGACGAGCAGCATGAGTGTGAGCTTCACCATATGGCTGACCTGCACCAGCATGATGGTGGCGATGAGGGATAGCACGGCAATGTAGTTGTAATACTTGGGGTTCTCCAGGCAGCCTCCCTCCAGCTCCATCCCTGCAGTTCCGTTGTAGGGTCCGGTGTAGTACTGGAGACAGCTAAGCTAGAGGCCAGGGTGATCAGGAGGGAAACAGGTGTACAAGGGAACAGCAGACACTGGTTAGAGAGGGCTATACCATGGCAGTGACCATTTAGCTGCCTCCTGCACCTCCCTCAGAGAAGGATGGGGAAAGTAACCAGGGAATAATACAAAATTATTATTTGCTAAGAGTTTTACCATATATCTCATTTGATGTTCAGAAAAACTCACTTGTGTTTTTAGTACTGTCCCTATTGCATAGAAAGCTTAGAGGCTAGACTTGGGCAAAGCTGCATAATTAGCAAGCAATAAAGTGAACCAGGAGCCAGGTCCTTAGGCTTCCAATCCAGCATGTTCTTCAAACCACACTGTCACTACAGGAGGGGCTATGACCAGTCGGCCTCTACTACCACTTCCCTATGGTGACAGCAAATCTCTGCCCAAACTGCCCTCTAGATCACTACCTTTGCTGGATTCACTGCTGTGCAGATGTGATCAACAGAAAGTATAGCCATCAACTGGAGGAAAAAAAAAAGTGAAATTGTGTGATTGTGTGTGTGTGTGTGTAACTTCCAGCTTATCTGGCTTCAGGCAAGGTCTTGGCATATAATTCTAGCACATGCGGTATTATCACCTCAACCCATTTGTTTTTACCCCACCAAGCAGTGATCTCCAGATATTCTGCAGGGCATCCGTGACCCTGTTAAACTGTAGGCCCCAGATGTGGGCACCAGCCTCAGGTGCATTCTAACATGCAGGAGGTTAGGGGCCTTTCCCTGTGTGGTAGGCATTGCAGCTCATGGGTGTGGTCGGCTCTGGAGCACTAACTAATCAGACTTCTGATTGATGGTTGCAGCCCTAGAGCTTTTTCACTTACACTACTGCCAGAATCAATCTCCATGCTGATTTCATTGCTATACTTAAATTGTTAAAATCCGGCAAGTAATATGACAGCATGATACTTGAAGAAAGGACTTTTTAAAAGAGAGTGCATATGGTACTACCACAATCGGAGGAAGCTGCGACAACTGACAAGAGAACATCATGATAGCTCTAAGCATTCAATGCTCAATAAATGCCTGGTGGCTCTAAATCAATAGATCTGAGTTTCCAACTCCTGTCCCTTCTTCCTAGGAAAGCATCTGGCTGCCCGCTCACAGAACCCCCAGCTTCTTTATGAACTGAGGAGAACAGAAGATGTTTTGTCTTCCAGCCATCTGGGCCCTGTAAAGCTACTGTTCCTACTGTCTCACCTTTCTAGGAAGTTCTGGCCATATTCAGAAGGTAAACAGGAGCTCCTTTGGTGACACAGGTTTACCTCCCTGGCCTGGATGGATGGTTAACACTAGCCCACACTGTAAGGAATGTTTCAGATGGACAGAATAACAAGGAGACATGAAGGAAGGAAACTCAGGAGTGGGATTTAAAACTGCTTTAATTCTTGACACTTGACTTCATGTTACTGACTGGCTGTGAAGAAAAGTCGGTGTATCTTTCTGAGCCTTAGTACTTTCATATGAACCTATAGATACTGATGCATTTAGCTCAGAACTAGATTCATGGAACTGGGCTCAGACTCTGAGAAGAAATATCTGCAAGGAAATAAGTCAATCTCAGAGGTTCCTTGAGTGACAGCAGAAGACCCATTCATCTGACTGGAATCATCATTTTAGGAACTTAAATGCCACTTAAATCTATGTCTGCTTGCAAAGGAATGGACCAGCAGACTGCTCATACAGCCAAGAAGCCCTTCTCCAACGGGAACTTGGACAGAGGAGCTTACCATGTCTACGATGTTTGCCATAACCAGAATGAAGATGGCTAACATGGCCCAGGTGTTCCTGGCCCAGCGGGTCCGATCAATCCAAGTGGAGAAGGCCACAAGTTTCTTAGGAAAGGCCTAGAAGGAATAGAATTTCAAGGGTCATGAGCCTTTGATAGCCCTTTGTCCAGTATACATGACTACTGATAACTCTTGTTGCTCCCATACTCTATTCCTAGGAACCTAAAAAGTGCCTTGCCACTGGGTCACCCAAAAACTGATCAAGTGGGACCACACTAAGAAGACAGTGCCAGAGTCCAGGTACTCTTTATCAGTCCTTCAGGTGTGTGTGCATGCAACTCCATGGCCTCCAGTTGCCACTTGGCAAAAATGCTGACCATCCCAGGAGCATGGACAACACTGGCCAGTCACTCTCCATGTCCAAGAGCATAGGACAGGGTAAGGAACAACTTTCAGGACCAGCCTTCTGCCTAACCACCTATCCCACCCTTTCCTAGGTCATTACACCTAAATCCCCCAGGTTACTTTGCAAGCCACCTGTCCGATTTCTCTAAAACACTCCTTTTCTCTTATCCTTCTGATCAAACACTGCCTGGCACCCCCTGTGCCTGCAGGAGAAAGTCTTAATCCCTTTAGTCTGGCTTTTAAGGTCTTTCATAGTCAGAGCCAACCCACCTTCCAGCCAGGCCTGCATTGCCTTTCTACCCAGGTTCCCCTTTATCCAGATTACCTTACTTGTATGCTGTAGTACCATGGCCCATCTGAGTCCAGCCCAGAGGGTTTGCTTAGCTGATAGTGAACAGATGAATGGATGTATGAATGAGGGAGGGAGTGGATAAATGCCTAAATCATCCCAATAAAAGACAAGAGTCAGAATTTGTCAGGAAGAATAGATCCTTTAGTATGCAGTTTTATAGAAGTGCATTCTCTTCCAGAAGCTTCCAAGCCCAACAGACAATGCTTCTTACCCGTGGGAAGATGGCAGCCATTGAACAGATGGTCAGGATCAGGAGTAGAATCTCCCCAACCACAAAGGTCACATAGTTTGTCATCAGCCTATGGCAGAGAAATGATGATTAAAGTACAAGTGAGATTAGGTGAGGAGCTTGGAGAGTATAGAGACAAGCATGGCACAGGCTTATTCCTACAGTTACATGTGACACCAGAGAATTGCTGCTGCACAAAACGAGAGGCCCTAGGCAGTGCGATATCACTGAGTACAGGGCCTGGGAGTGCACCACCTCCCCAGTTGTCCTCTGGGACATTTCCCAGATAAAGGTTAAAGAGCCACAGATATGCCAAATGGCCCAATAAAAACTTGGGGTGGCTGGGGTTGTAACTCAGTGGTAGAGCACTTGCCCAGCGTGAGGCTCTGGATTTGATCCTCAGCACCACAAAAATAAATAAGAGATTGTGTCCATCTACAACTAAATATTTAAAAAAAAAAAAAAAAAAATCTTGGGAAGGGATTCTTAGGAATGAGCATCTGCTTTGTAACCATGGTAAACAGTTCAGAACTCCTGCTGAGGGTGGCTATGTCTGACATATCCTTTGACTCCTCAGAGCCTCAGTGGCAAGGTCCTTCCACATCCAGTTCATCCCATTCACTGAGAAATCTGCTCTCACTGAGGTCCTCGTGCCCATTCCCATTTCACCCTTTCACAGAGAGTGAAGAGCTTCAGAAACCTCATGTTGCTAAATCCCCTGTCCAGTTTGAGGTCATCTCTTAATTCCTTGAAACATTCTCACTTGGTTTTCAGGATCTTTTCACTCTCTGCTGGTTCTTTCTGTCTTCCTATCTCTATACACAGTTGTACCACTTAACTTAGGCCTTGACCTACTTCTCTTTGCACCTACAGTCTCCCTTGAGGATTTCATCATGTCTCATGCTCTTAATGTACCCTGTGAGGAGATGACTTCCAAGTTGGCATCTCCACTCCAGTATCTCCCCAGTTCCCAGATTACAACTCAGCTACCTATGGACAGTGTCTGTAGGCATCTCAAATTTAACATAGCCAAAACCAAATTCCTGATCTTTGCCTCTCCAATGTTCCTTTTCCTATATTGTCCATCTTTTGGTTAATGGCAACTCCATTCTGCCAGATACCGGTCAAAAACCTTAGAGGCATCATTCATTTTTCATACCTCAAAACCAATGTCAGCAAATGCTGCCAGCTTTGTGTCAAAAATATATTTAGAAGCCAACTCTCCCACAATAAAAGTCAGAATCCAACCTCGTATCCTCTTCTCTAACTTCAGCCTGGCCTAAAGTGCCATCACATGGTTTGTTTGGGTCAATGCCATCACCCCTTACTGGTCTTACTGTTTGCACTCTTGCTCATTAAACTCTGCTCAACATAGCAGAGGGATCATTCTCAAATATGTGCCCCAACAGGTGACTACTCTGCTTATATTCATTGCCCTCCCATTTGAAGAGAGCCAGCACCCTGCTATGGCCTCTAAGGCCCGAACTCTCTACCTTGATTCATTCCTACCACTGTCCCTGCAGCTCCCCCCATTCCAGCAGCATTAAGCCCTTGCTGTGCCTCCAGAGAGGCTAGACCCGCTGTGCCTCAACATTGACTGAGACAGTCACCCCCAGATAGCAGAAAGCCTGTTCCTCGCCCCCTTCAGTGCTTTACTGAATTACCACCTCATCAGTGAGCTCTGCTCTGAGTGACCTATAAAAAATATGTAAACTTCTATCCTTGCTTTAATTTTTATCTGAAATACTTACCACTGTCTGGGTATATACTTTAAATTATTTAAATATCCATGTGTGACTTTCCCTATGAGATTCTAAGTTTGATGGAAGCAGGGATTTCTTTATGCTTTGTTCACTGCTGTATCTTTAGACCTTAATTCTCAAGCACAAAGTATATATAAATATTTGCAAACTGAATGACTTTGATCTCAAAACAATCTTGAGAGTTCGCCAGGATGGGATCATCACCCTTAATTTACAGATGAGTGCACTGGGTTCCAAGAGCACCTGCCACAGTGCTCCATCTGGAACTTGAGATGGTGTGGCTGAGGCCAAGGCTTTTTACAGCTACTAAAACAGATCCACACAGGCTCCACACACCTGCTCTCTAATGGGAATGCCTGGGCAGGAGGGAGTTGCTAATCAGCCACCAGAGACTGGCCAAGTCATGTTTATCTTTCAGGTGGGGCTTAAGAGTTGTGCAAGAACTCTGGAACACCCTACTTGCACCAAAGGACCTACTGCTGAGGACATCTGTGCTCACCCTAGAATCTGGCTTTACTAAGATAAGCCAAGAAAGGGAAGCCAGGTTGGCCTTGGTGACAGGTTAAGGCAGCATCCCCATTCTTTTCCCCCAAACCCCTGGGGCCTATCCAGCCAAGTTTTCTAATCCTCTTGAATACCTCTGTCCCCTAGCTTTCTTGTCCTGCTTAGAACCCCATTCTGGTGCAGAGACAGAGAAGGAAGGTGCGTGGAGCAGAGATGGGGCCTATGCCCTGACACTGGGCTCCAGCTGAGGTGCCTGCCTCTCACACCTCTGTGCCCTAGGAGGTCCCTCACCTTTCTCCCTCTCCTGGCCTATTGGTCCCCTCCACTGCCCCTCCCTTACCAGGGGTCAATGAGTATCTCAACCAGGGCTGTGCAGAGCAGGACCACACAGGAGCAGCTGAAGGCAGCCCCGCTCTGCTTTTCCTTCTCCACTGAGTAGCGGATTTCCATCTCTGGGTCCATGAACCGCATGGATAGGAGAAAGGTGTTTCTCTTCTTTACCCTGCAGTAGAAACAAGCCCCGTGAACCACAAATGCCACATCTGCTACATCCTATGAGTGGGACCATATTTCATATGACTGGTTTCCTGTACCCCACATAAGGGCCTGTGAGAAGCAGTATTCCAGGACCTCTGCAGTGGCCACTTACACCTGGGCAGACTCTCGCTCCAGCAGGGCCTCATTGAGTAGCTGGTTGAGCTCATGCTCATCCTCAGAAGCATCCACCACACGGTCAGCCAGGTCTTGGAGGCGCAGCCTCCGGCGGGGGTTGGGAAACGAGGGGTTGTCTGCCTGCAAGCCAGAGAGGCAGAGTCAGTAGGGCTGATGGGGTAATACAATGAGAAGATTTGGGAAGGATGAAGGTAGAGGGGGAAGGGAACAAAAGAGTCATGCTCCTGAGGACTAGGCCCATTATCTCTAAAAAACATTTTCACAGGAAGTCTTCCTGATGCTCCCATGTTGCTTCATCCTGCTTGGACCCAAAGCTGAACCAATCCTGTCTGGTCTTTCTAGACCCCTAGTCTGCTGATGACAGTGTTTTGGGAAGCAGCCCCTTGACACCTGATTAGGAGGTTAGAATTCAAGGCAGTACTGAAGAGTGCAGTTCTGTCACATCCTCCTGCTGGAAGAGGGGTCACATGAAGCCCTACATGTTGACATCTTTGAGGGCACAAGTGACCTCCAACCCTACGGCTTAAGGGAATGGCAAAAGCTCACATCTGGCCCATTTTGCAAAGGAGTATGAATAGGGTATGATGGGAGGGTAGAGAATGTCTTTGTTGCTAGTGGGCTGAAAAGGGGAAGGTGGGCAGTGCTGGGGCTTCTGCCACCTTAGTCCTAGTCACAAAGGAAAGGTATCAACTCTAAAAATACAACTCCAGTTATGACTACATAGCTGTCAGTCCAAATAACAAGAGTGTTGGAGCTGTCACAGCAGGTCCAGGAGTGCACCAGGGAGCCAGAGCCAGGACTCCCTAGTCTTCAACTCAACTGTGCCGAGTTTGACCCTACCCCAGATAATCCCTGCTTCCCCAGTTCCTTTTTTTTTTCCCCCCCTCTGGCTGGGCTCTTTAGGCACCAAGAGCCTACGTTCAGGAAGCATACCCTGGAGCATAGTGACAAAAGCTAATGATTAGGACATGAAGAGTCACAGGCTGCTAAAGCCACCACTATGTACATGTTATTGAGTTATATCAAATCTGTAAGTCCACTTTTCATCAAGAAAATCACTAATCAGGAAAAGCTGTGGAATACTGATTGCTCAAGGAAAAGCCAGTTACGTTAAGCTTTGTCTACCACCTTCTCTGATGTCAGACACAAAGGCCTTGGGAACAACTCTCTTCGTTGCACAGAGAGACCAGCCAAGCAAGGCAGAGAGCCCCATCTCCAGTTCACCTTTGTCAGTGTATCCACTCAGCTGGCTCCTTAGTGCTAAGGATGTTCTTTGGTTTTCTGCAGTGCTGGAGATGGAAACCAGGACCTCAAGTGTGCTCAGCAGGTACTGTACCGCGGAGCCACATCTCCAGCCCCTAAGAGCTCCTTGGCAGTGGGGGCGGTTCTGGATCATCTCCCAAGACATGCCCATTCTCTGGGTCAGCATACTAGTCGTTACTAGTGTGGGCTTTGGAAATGTCCATCTGTGCATGGAACTTGTGGGTTTGACCTAGCCAGAGGGGTAAGTCTAGCATAGAAGTCTCACTCTCAATAAAACAGTCTCGGATCCTATAGAATTTTCCATGGATGTCCTCACTGATCTCAAACCTGTAGGATTCTGGGCCATGTGACTACAGGAGGCCTCACAGGCACATGCCTCTTGGAACTTACCCACTTGACTTCATGTAACTGATGAAGAGACAGTTATACTGTCTAAATGTGGTCACTGCTAAAAAGGAGCAGCATCCAGGCTAGTGACAAAGCCTCCCACTTCCAGTATGTGCCTCCATCCTACTGCAGCAAACCTACCTCTTCCCAGTTCCTACCCACAAGTTGGCCCTTGGTGAGTCCTCCTTGCTCTGGGCCTACCTGGGCCTCCTGCTCCTCAGCCTCCTCCGATGTGGAGCCACTGGCCTGGGCACTCCCATTGGGTTCCTTTGTCTCAATAAGGGCAGGGGAGCTGGGCTTTGAGGTTGGAGCTCCATTTGGTAGGGCCTGCAGTAGAAAGAAGCATCCATCAAGGTCTCCAGATACTGTCTGCTGCACATTCCAGTCTGTAGGTGGTCTACTATTATTCTAGAATCTTCCCACTAGAGTTGTTGAAGCCTCACTGACCTAGAAATTCCACTATTCAGTTTCTCCTCTAGAACATTAATTTTAAAATGCTGTCATTTTCTAATATCAATTTTTATCAAAAGTTTTCTAAACAGAAGACCCAATTGGTCTAATTCCTTCTTCAAAACAGTAACTCAGTGACAGTGACTGGGATCTGTTTTCGTGGAGGGCCCTGCAACTGCTTCTTGGTCTGAAAAACCTCCAGAAACCAGTGAATTTTTCCTTGACAGAGTGAGTGAAACACTGTACTGCAGGGGAAACGGGAAATGCAGTCTTGTGGCTAACTAGTTCATTCATTCAACCAGTAAGTATTTGTGGAGTACAGACAAAATGGTCTAAACTGGTGGACCAGATATTCTCATGAAGAAGGGCAGACATTGGCAAAATAGATAAGGAAAAGATGCAGTTCATAGAAAGATGGCTGGGTGAGTAGGACGGTGGGCGTAGAGGTAGTTGGGAGTCCTTTAGTAAAGAGGTAGTGTCACTGTGAAGATGACATTTCAGTAATAAATGAAGGAGTAAGTCAAAAGGGAATTCCCAGTGCAAAGGCTCCAGAGTAGCCTTGGGCTACTCTGAGGATGAGTGGCAGCCAGGGGGCCAGGGCTGTTGGAGCAGGTGAGCAGAAAGGGACCATGGGAGCCACTGTGGAGAGAACAGACAGAGGGCAGGACCACAGATGGCTCTGTTGTTTCTGTACCTTTCCTCTCCCCACCCTTCTTTGTACTGAGGTTTGAGCCCAGGAGCAATTTACCACTGAGCTACATTCCCAGGCCTTTTTATTTTTTGAGATGGGATCTAAGATGCAGAAGCTGGTCTCAAACTTTTGATCCTCCTGCCTTAACCTTCCATGTCACTGGGTTTTAAGATGTGTGCCACTTCAGGGCCTGTTTCTTCTTCATTTCCCACTCAGGAAACCTGCCCTGGCTTTAGTTTCCTCCTCCTCGATGGCTGCCCCACCTCATTCTGCATATTCTCCCTGGCATTCAAGCCACTCGTGGCTTCAGCTACTTACACAACTACAGAAGCCTCCCTTCTGGATTTGTCTCGGGATATACTGCAATCATCTTAATTCCAACTTACCATGAAAGACACTGTCTCCCCTACAATCACCTTGCCTCTGAAAGACACTACCACTGGACTCCTGCACCACAGGATGCAGAGTAATTCTTTACATCAGCCTGCCTCTTGCCTCTCATAGTCAGCCATCTTCAAGTCCCACCAACCTCTCTTTTATAACTGTTCTTTAAAAAAAATAAGATTGTTTTAATTCCTTCCTTTCCAAATCTCTGCTCCAGAGGTGTGGTAGGGAACTTACCGAGCCGTTGAGGCCATTTTGGGTGGCTGTTTTCTTCACCTCTGGCCTGGAGGCAATGATGAGGTAGGTTTCGATGCCCTTCTCATCTAGGTAATCACAACGGCTGCCCCCATCACCTGGCTCCACATCGAACTCTCCTTTCAGGCAGTCCATGGTGCTTTGGGAGATGTGCACACGCCTGGATTGCAGAGGGGGGCCTTGAGCATATGTCAGAGACAGCCTTTGCCTGTACTAGGGATGGTCAGTGCATCACAGGCACTGGCTGCTGCTCTGGCCTGTATCCCCGGGTATGTAGGGCAGAGGCCAAGTGGGGACAGTCCTGTGGCTAACTAGCTGTGTAGACAGTGTGGCATCCACTTCCCTGAGCCCCAGCATTGGGTCTTTAAAACAAAGACCACAGTTTTTCCTCGTGGACTATTGAGAGCATCAAATGAGATAAGGAATGTAATAAGCTCTGAACTCGAATAACGTCATAAGCTGATTATTCCCTATCTTGCATGATTCTCAGTTGCAAGCCTGATGCCAACGGGTGGTAAAACCCACTCTGAGTCACCAGAGGACAGAAATGGAACTGTCTCTGAGGAAGCTCCCTGCCCTGGTGGGAAGGCTGAGCTTGGCCTGTCCACCCTAAGGGCAGGGCCTGCCAGGATATTTGGTTCTGGTTCTGTAGAAGAGCTCAAGAGAGCCGTGCGAGAGGCTGTAAGCCATAAAGTATGGCCTCCAGGCCTGCTGCCTGATTATTACTAGTCATGACACCTTTCAGGAGTCCTGAACTATAACATCAGTAAGTACAGGACAGACTGCTGCAGAGGCAGGCTCCCAGAGGAAGGTCTCAGAGTGGCCTTAGCCAGGCATAAGTAGGAGGGAAGGAACACTGCTACTGGGTGGAAAGGGGGCCCTCAAGGCCTTTTGTCCCTCATTAGGGCCACTGCCTTGAGGGTGGATGAGATGTTCCCTTCATAGATCCTTACACCTGCCTACACTGAAGGCATACTCACCCAGGAATGCCACCAGCCTCCATCTTGTTGGCCACAGTGACATCGGTGGACCACACATCGTACTGCCAGCGCTTCTGGCCCAGGACACCACCCAGCACAGTGCCTGTGTGCACCCCCACACGCATGTCCACCCCAGTCTTGGTCTTCTCCCGCACATACCTGCCAGGCACACAGAGGTGTTAGGGTTCAGCTCTGTGTGAGGCAGCCTCGCTCTCCCTGCAAGAGAATTCTGCATGAGCTGCCCTCCCCTCCAGGCTGAGGGGCCTAGCACATGCCCTGAGGCTTCCTGCTTCCGCTGAGCAGCTGCAACTGGGGACAAGACAGGGCAGGACCTAGCAGTAGATCCAACAATCACAGGTCAGTGAGACTTGGGGCAAGGTGTCTGGGGACATAGTACTCTCTTCCCCTGAGGGACCTCTAATTTCTCTCTTCAAGTTGTTCACTTATTCATTCATAAAGTTGCTGTTCCATCGAGAATCTAGAATGTGCCCAGCATCCTGTACGCTGCAGACACAGAGGTAAACAACCTCTGAGAAGAGTAACTTGCTTAACAACTCCAGAAAAAGACTAATACAAATTTCAAAAATCGGCCTGCTGGGGGAGTAGAGATTAAAGTTTCTAATCCTGAACTACTGTCACCCCAGGGGGGGACTGCCTTTGTGTCTTTCCAAGCTAAAGGAAGAGGGGCTTAACCTGAGAGACTAAGAATGCAGAGCTGCTCCTAGAGGCCAAAGGGAAGAGCAAATGACATCTGGGCTCCATTAGAGGGGAGAAGCCTCCTAAGAGCTTCTTTTCCCACCCTCTCCTGGGCCACCAGAGAAACCAGTTTCATGTGGAGCAGCACAAGGGGAAGCCTGCTCCCCAGCTCTTGTGGGGCGCTGGAGCAAAGGGCAGGTTCCAATGCCACCCTACCACCGTCTATGGCATGCGACCCAGCATTCACTTCATGTTGACATGGGAAGGGCTGTCCCTGAACTGCATCTGTCTTAGAGGGTCATGGTGAGAAAACAGAAAAAGGGGAGAACTCTTGGGGAGGCGGGTCCTCAGGAAAACATGGAGCAGTGTGATGGTTTTCACAAAGCAACTTTTGATAGAGAGAATGAGGTCACCAAAGGCTGAGGCATGGCCAGAGGCTGTGGAGAAGCCATGTCCTGACTTGCCAAGGTTGAGGATTCAACCTTATCCCACACCTCAGGCAGATTCCTGGCATCTGGTTAGACCAGTGAAAGGCCTACTTCTCCCCAGCCAGGGCCAAGAAGCCTGCCCTGGGAGCCCCTCGCTGCCAAAGGCACCCACTCACGAGATGGCCTCCACCATGGCAAGCCCCATGAGGATGGAGCAGACAGCATGGTCCTCCCGGTAGTCAGGCAGTCCACAGATGCAGTAGTAACAGTCACCCAGGATCTTGATTCGCAGCTGGTGGTATTTCTGAAAGGGAAGGGCATGTGTGTGCTCCCAGTCCCTTCTGGACATGGAGCAGCGGCAAAGCAAGCAAAAGGAAGGACCAGTGGGGGAATTACTGAGCCAGGGAACGACCAAGGACAGCTGATGCAGTGGGTACTTACAGCTGCCAGCTTGTCAAAGCGGGCAAAGAGCTCATTGAGCAGCTTCACAAGCTCCTGGGCACTGCAGGCAGACGACAGCTGGGTGAAGCCCACGATGTCTGCAAAGAGGATGCTGCAGGAGAGGGGACGGCAGGCAATGAGGCTCCAGACCCCCACCTGACTCTACTGCCAGCTCCTGCCAACTCACAGGACAGCCAGGCTAACAGTGGAAGAAGGTCTTGCTCATCCCCCCAGCACAGTGAGACTTTGGTGTTTCCAGGCAAATTCTGGGCTCCGACATTACAACTTATCCTTGCTGAAGTCCCCTCTGCATGCTTCCCTCTCCAGTTGTACCTGGGGACCACCCTCCAACTGGTCAAACCCTACCCCTGGCTGAACGCATCCTTTTTTTTAGAGCTGCCCCTGAATGACAGACAACCTTTTAGGAACCCTTTCCTTCTCCTGAGTGACATTCATACAATGACAGAATAGAACAGGCTGCATAAAGCACATTTTAACTGATATCTGCCAGTACATTTCCTCCACAGGACTGTGGAGTTCAGTGGAGCTGAGGTGCACACAATGGGATGGCCCTGCCTCTAGTCCCCAGGAAAACCAAACCCACGGTGCTCAGCAAATCCCAGGAGCCACGTTCCTTTGGCCCTTCTGCTGGGGATGGGTCTCAGCCATCGCACCTGACGTTCTCATGCCGGTACATGTACATGGTGTTAAACTGCTGCTGGTCCTTCTGGCTCTCATCTTTCTTCATGTCCTTCAACATCTCATCAGCTACGTGCTTGGGCAGGATGGAGAGCATAAGGTTTTCCTGGGAGGAGGACGGGGTTGGAGGGGAAGTTCAGACTCTTCTGGAAAGAAACCCCCAATCCTGGTGAGAGATGTTAGCCAGGAACAAAGACCTCTAACAGAGGCCCCACAGACCCACACTGGGAAGCTGGGGAGAACAGGCAGCTTGCCCAGGAAGGCCCACCATCACAACAGCCCCTTCCCAGCACTGACACAGGTTAGAAATGCCCCAATAAACCCCAGCTCAGCATCATCCTCTTTCTACAAGTGCAGTCATTCCTGTGTCAGCCACTACACTGAGTCCTAAGTCTCCTTCCTGTCATTCACCATGTTTCGCAGAGCAATCACGAAATTCAGATTCAACTTGATCTAAGATTGACAATATACCTGGTGCCAGCGATACAACAGGCAGCAAGAGTTCTACCTCAGAGAGCTTAGTGTCTCACAGGGACGCAGATCAGGACATCAGTGCAGTGCGGTATGATACTGTCATGACCAGAGGAGAGCTATGTGACAGAGGAAGACATCAGGGCACCATAGAGGCCTTCTGAGAAGTGAGCATGGCCAAGTCTTGAGGATAAAGTGCTAAGGGCATTCCTGTGAGAGGAAGCTACGTACTCAAAGGTATAAACGCGTGACGCCAGGTTCAGGCAACTGCAAGCATTTCAGTAAACAGAAACACCTCAAGAGCTAGATGTAGACCAAGGGTCAGCAAACTGAGGTCTGTGGGCCAAATATGGCTACTGCCTATTTTCATAAAGTTTTATTGGCATCCAGCCACACTCATTTATTTACATATTGTCTCTTGGCTGTTTTCACGCTCCAACAACAGAGCTGGGTAGTTGTGATGAAGACCATATGGCCCACAAAGCCAAAATATTTACTATCTTGCTCTTTCCAGAACTCCGTGGCTTGGGCATCTGGGTAGATGGTGCCAGTCTCTGTGATACAGAACTAAGAAGGAGAAACAGATGTGAGGGATAAGTGAGGAGTGTGGCTGAGGATGTGCTATCTGAGAAGCCACTAGGTCTCAGGAGCATGGGCCGAGCCATCAATCCTGGAAGCTATGACTGGGTGTGTGGTGAGGGAGCCATGGGTTAGACTGAGAAGGGAAAGTGGACACTGTTGTCAGGAGTCAGAAGTGGGAAATCAGAGGAGTAAGAACAGCTACCCCTGCACCCTAGGGAGGACAGTGATGATGGCGTCTGGAAGCTGAAGTTTTGCAGGATGAAGACTGTAGGTGGTCAAAGAGCAAGAGAACTGTGGCTAATGTCAAGGAAGTAACTATACCGAGGTGTGTGGGCCAGGCAGCAAAGAAAGGGAGGACAGCCTGGGAGAAGCTGAGGCTGCCATCAAGGGTCAGAGACCATGAAGTAGAGGGCAGGGAGGCGGTGCCCCTGTAGTGAATCAGCTCCTGGGGACAGATCAGAGTGCAGTCATGTGCTCAGCTGCTTGAAGGTGAGAAGTGAGGCGGGCCGGGCTCAGGGACGGTTATGGGCTCTGTGTCCACAGTGTAGTTCCCTGGGTCCAGGCTAGTCAGAAAAACAAGAACTGAAGTGCTTAGTTTTACTCTTCTTCCATCCCCATTGCACCTTGACTGGCACCCCCTGAGCCTGGGAAGCAGCAGCAGCGCCTCCCAGGACTACACTGCCCAAGCAGTGCAAGCGTGTAAATCTCAGGATCCTGGCCCTTGGCACCCCAATCCTCTGCCAGTGAGGTCAGGGCAGAGGAGATCTGATACACAGGGATGGTTGGGACCCTCCTGGGAGACCTGAGATCCTCTCCTGGGACCTAACAAAGCAGGCACCAGGGAGAAGGCTCTTGGCATGAGAAAAGGATGAACCTCTGGGAAAAAAAGAAAAGCCAGTGCCCGGGCCCTGCCAGCTTGTGAGGGCAGCCAGGGATGAGAGTTCAGCAGCAAGTGCTGGGGCTGGGTTTCTGGGCTCAGTTGTCTGGGGTTCCCAGCTCACAGGAAGCATGCTGCCTGGCACACATGAGGCTCACAAGGGCAGGAACAGGTGGGGTTAGGAGAACATTCCCTGGGTGTCGCGGCCAGCCCAGGCCCCAGCCTGCCAACACTCCCTCCGTGACACCGGGCAAGTCACCATACTCTCCTGTGCCTTGTTCCTCAGTGGTAAAACAGGACTAGGTAACTGATTACTATAAAGTGTGACTCTCAGGAAGTGCTCAGGGTACCTCAGCCTTTCTTATATCACTTTGATAAAAGTGTGAATGAGGATGTCAAGATGGCAGATGTCTCACAAAAGAGGAGGTATGGTCTTCCTCTGGGCATCCAGGTGGGCCACAGGTGTTCTAGTCCCAGTGGGGTATCCCAGGGTCAGCAGAAACCCCTGGTCACTCAGCCAGGCCTCATGAGCTGTCTAGTGCAGAAGGGATGGTTAAGGGGACACAAAAGAAAGATCCTGTCTTCCATTTAAGTCTTCAGCCCCCCACTTTTTCCTCCTCCACCCCAAACCCCCACATGCTCACACAGGGAGACTGCTAAAGTATGAAAGGCATAGAGGCATGAGGAGTGGGAGGCCCACCCAGGTTCACCAGGGAGGGGTGTGGAACACAGGTCTGGGAAGGCTCTCCTGTCCTTCCAGCCACCTGTACACACCCCAGAAGCCAGGGCTCACACGGTCAGGCCTTTCTGCCTTCTATTTCAGAGCCCTGTCCCTCCAGTAAAGCCCCTTTAGACTCCCTATAGAACCTTAGGGATACCAGAGTCCAATCCGGTCCTGTGAGGAGCTACATGTCCCTGACCACAGTCCTGATTTGCCTCTAAACACTGCCAGTCCTCCTCAGGGATAGCCCACACATGCCGCCTCCTGCTTGGGGCTGGACTCCAGGACTGTCAATGAATCGAGAGTAAAGGCAGGAACACAAATCAGGGCAGCCCTAGAGCCCCAAACATAAGTGCCTCGGAAAGTTCACACAAGTGACAGGCTGTGAGCTTCTCTCTGGGGTGGGATGGTGGGAACTTTTAACTTTTTGCATGATATATTTCCGTAACAATTTTCAAGAGCAAATATGAGCTCTGAAGATTAAGAGGTTATATCAACTTTAAAGGCATAAGAAAGAAGCTGAGGTTGTAACTTAAGGCCACCAATTTACCTCTGTGGTTTATGGAAACCTCACAGTCAGCCTCACAAGGTTAAGTACAAACAGTCCACCTTAAGTCATTCTGATAACAAGATGGGTTTTAATAAAAAGTAGGTATACCCAGGGGACAGGGCACATGGAAATAGACGAAAAAATGGATGAAGCAGGTGGCTGTGGGTGTAGGGGCAGGAAATGACATCAGGTAGGTAGAGATGAGAGGGAGGGAAGAGGCCAAGTGGGCAGCAAGGAGCTGGGACTCTTCTTTTCTGAGGTGCTAGGGATAGAACCCAGGGCCTATGCATCCTGGGCAAGCACTCTACCACTGAGCCACACCCCATCCCCAGCCTCTAATCAGGCCTCCCTGGCACCAGGCCTATTGGTCCTCCCCTTCAATCCACCTTCTACCTGGCATCTGAACTTCCTCAACGCCCCTGTACACAGCTCCCTCCCTGGCTCCCCCTGCTGTTGCTCCATGCACCCTCAGCCTGGCCACCTGCCTCCACCACCCACTGCTTTCCCCAGGGCCCTCAGTGTAGACAAGGGGGAATGCTCGCTTTTCTCTGCACCCCTCCCTGTCCAGCTCTGCTTCTGACATCACTTTGTTTGTTTTGTTTTTTGGTGCTGGGGATTGAACCCACGGCTACTTTACCACTGAGCTACATCCCTAGCTCTTTTTATTCTGAGACAGGGTCTCGCTAAGTTGCCTGGGCTGGCCTCAAACTTGTGATCTTCCTGCCTCAGCCTCACTGGGGGATTACAGGTGTGTGCCACCACACCTCACTCTGACATTACTCTCTCTGGAACACCCCTCCCTACCCACACCTTTCAACACCCCATCATGTGCCACCTCTCCAGAAAGCCCCTGGCCCCTACCCTGTTCCTTCCTTCTCATTTAAACCCATTTTGTTGGTGTCTTTCTACTGGCACTAGACCTTGCTGGCCCTTATATTTCAGAGCATCTAAACCCTTTCTTAGTCTTAGCCCTTCTGAAGGGTGTGTGATATTAACTGTGGATCTTCTAGAAAAACAGTCTTACACAGGTAAAGGATCCCTGATAACCATTCTTGGGGCCTATGTTAAAAACTCCAACACCCTATCACCTGTGTTCCTGGGGAAGGAAGGAGGCAGGGATCTAAGTATACTTGCTGGTGGGTCCCACAGAGGGGTGCAGTGGGAAGGGAAGAGGGTCACCCAGAGTGGCTAGGATTGCTCTGGGGCCTACAGCTGATGAATGTGACTTGGTCTCCCCAGAACCCAGGCAGAGCCTGCTTTCCCCAAAATAGTAGTTAAATGCTATATGTTTCAGGAATCACAAGAATGTTCTAAGCCTTTGACCCCATTAATGGCTCTTCTGGGAATTTATCCAGAGGAAATAACCAAAAAGAAGTAAAACTATATATGTGCAAGAAGGTCTGCACCGCAGCATGACAACACTCATGGGAAAAACTAAGTAGCCCAAGTGTTCAGTAAATGGCTAATCAAATGGTGACATGCCCTCTGGACGGAAGATTTACAGCATTAAAAATGATCATCATGGTGGAGCTGGGGTTGTGGCTCAGTGGTAGAGCACTTGCTTTGCATGCATGGGGCACTGGGTTCAATCATTAGCACCACATAAATTAACAAAGTAAAGATGTTGTGTCCATCTATAACTAAAAAATTTAAAAAATAAAATAAAAATGATCATCATGGTCCTTTTCACCAAGATGGTACCAAAAGCAAAGAAGGAATCTCCTGCCCTTCCCAAAGCTGAAGCCAAGGCAAAGGCTTTGAAAGCCAAGAAGGCAATGCTGAAAGGCAATCATGGCCACAAGATGGCCTGCCTGGACCTATCCTCCAGTGCCAAGACTCCATGGCTCCAGAAGCAACCTGAACACCCTCAGAAGAGCACCCCCAGGAGAAGCTTGAGCACTATGC